CATAATTATAATTATATATATATTATAATATATATAATATATATAATATATATTAATAATAAAATAATAAATATATATACTTTATAAAATTTCAAATAAAATTTCTTTTCTAAAATTTTTATTATAATTAGCTTCGTAACTATATTTTATTTTTATTTTCTTGATTCTAATTACTATCTATAACTTATAGAAATTTTTGCTTTTAGATGTAATATTTAATCTAAAAAAATTATTAAAAATATCTGGATTTCAAGTAAAAGAGTATTATTGCTCTATGTTATTAATTCTATTTAAAAGAAATTTAAAAGAAAAAAAAAAAGAGAAACAATATTTTCACGAATGATTTTTGTAATTAAAATAGAATAAGTATAATAATCAATATTTTAATGAAAAAAATTGATTCTATAATTTAAATGTACATTTTTTTTAATACAAATCTTATTCTATTTTAATTATTGGATAAAATGGAATATCTCAAATTATTTTTTTAATTAAAAAGTCTCTTCTAATAATCCAACTTATTTAAAAGATTTATTTTTATCTTAAAGATTAATTTCTATCTTATCTGTACTCTTTACTTTCCTCTGATACGATAAAATATTTTGATCTATATTAATCATCTTCGACAACAATAATCTACTTTCAGTTGATTATAAAACTACTAATAGCTTTTTTTCAATATCTTTCTAAGATATCTTTAAATATTTATTGTATAATAATCAATTTTGAAAGCTAAATAACAATCAGTCATTAAAATCAAAGTTTGCTTTTTATATAGATAATATCACTTATACTATTACTATATCGATACATATAAAATTGCATTTTCATTGTATTGGATATTGCAAGACTATAATATTCAAAATTAATCATTTTTTGTATCAAGTAAAATTTCTTTAACAAGATAGAAAATATAACAAAAAATATATAAAAATGAAATTTTCTTACCTATTATAAATACTTAAATATTTTCCTTAGTGAATTGCTTATTGAACGATCAACCGAAACAAAATGGATAACAAATACTCATTCAAAACGATTGAATAACTCTGGTTGGCGAATATTAAGTCGATGAAGAAGAGGGAAAAATATAAAAAAAGAGAGGAAAAGATAAATACAAAGAAAGGGTAGACAATATCTGATTAAAGGTGCAGTTTTTTGATGGGCAATTACTCTTAAATAGAAGCTTGATGATAGAAGCTCATTGAGTCTCTGGTTTTTTTTCTCTCTCTTATATTCTTTCTCTTATTCTTTTTTTCCCTTCCTTCTGTTCGTATTCGTATTTCGATCTTCCGCCGAATCATTACGATCCATGCTTCAGGGTATATATTGGTTGATTATAATCGCGGAATACGCCCCAGAATTAATCATGATAAAATTAATAGACTTCCATTACGGAACGCGTGTGTTTAGTTGAATGGAAGAAAGTTTTAATTGAATGTATTTAATAGAATAATAATTTTATGTTATTAAAATAAAATATGTATGATTGCGATTAACTAACTAAATGATTTAAAAATTTTAATATATTGAATGTCATATATGGTAGATTGGATTTTAATCAAATAAACAAAAAGTTAATATTATTCGTGATTGTAAATAAAGTAAAAATATATATAATATGTACAAAACATATTTATTATTTTTATTTATTATATATTTATTATTTATTAAATATTTTCATATTATTTAAATAATTAAAAAGAAATCAATTTTTGTTTACTATTCTTTGATTTTAATTCTTCTGCTAATATAAAATCATTTCCATTTTTTTTAGAAATTATAATTATAATATATTTATATGAATTATTAAAATATCAAAATAATGAATACTATATTTTGAAAAATTTTTGATTTTAGTGATAGAATGTATAATTAAACTTTCAGAAATC